CCATTGGTGGCGTTTGCTTCACGACTTGCCCCCCGAGCAGCTCCCTGCCATCCACCGTGACTACCTGCAGGGGCAGTGTGGCAGGCAGCAACTGTATATCGTGCTGGTCGACAAAGTCTTGCCCTATAAAGTCCGCATTGCTTCCTGAGTCAATAGTGATTGGCACGTCCATGGTGAGTCCATTGGGTAGTTGGAGCGATGCGGTGAGCCGCACTACTGGTTTGGGCGGGAGGGGGTCCGTGGGTTGCAACATCTCTGGGGACTGCTTCACTGACACGTCTGGTTGGGCCCCAGTGCCTCTGTCTCCAGCCAGACTCCTTCGTTTCCCTGCTGTGGTTCTCCTTGCTGAGTCGCTGCAGTTACCATTGCTGAGGCTGCAGTGTGCTTGTGGAGCCTCTGGGGACACTCTTTCGCCATGTGCTGGGGATTGTCGCAGATGTAGCACTTCCGGTTCCCTCTAGGAGGCTTTGCTTTCACTGCTCCCGGTGCTAGGGCTCTGGTTGCTGACTGAGCCCTTGCACCGCCAACCTCCATAGGTTCCGCTCCTCCTCCTGGCGGAGGCGTGGATTGCACACGCGCTGCTTCTTTGGGAACGAAGGAGTAGCCTCTGGCTGGTTCGCGCCCTCCGCGCCCTTCGTCCTTGCCCCAAGGACGTTCCTCCAGACGGACCCCAACTGCGAGCGCCCTCTGAACGATCTCCTGCGTGCTCCGGGGTCTCTCCCCCCTCGCAATTTCGTCCTTAACCGGGCCGCTCAAGCCTTCCCAAAACAGGTCTCTGACTGGCGCCGAATCTCTGTCCCATTCCAGGGCACTGACCAATGCAAAAAAGCGGGCATGATACTGCCGTACACTGGCCCTCCCCTGCTTAAGTCCATGCACCTCCTTCCGGGCAAGATCCACGTCTATGCTTGATAAGAAGCACCCATCCATCGCTTTAATGAAGGCATCCGCATTTTGGAGCGCCGGATCCTTATCTCTCCACAAATTGCGCAGCCATGCTTTAGCATCTCCATGCAAATGGGACATGATAAACCCCACCTTCTCTTGCTCATCTCTAAAGTCCTTTTCCAGCAGTTGCAGTGCACACTTTACATCTGCTCTAAAGTTGGGGTACTGTTGCAAATTCCCATCGAAGTGAGAGACTAGACCGCCTGCTCGTCTCCCCAACCCAATCCCCTCCGGTCTGGGTGTCAGTTGCCCTTGCTTCGTAAGCATTTCCAATCTGACCTGGAGATCTCTGTAGGCGGCAGCTGCGTCCTCCTCTCTCTTCCTGGATGCAAGTACCTCGGCATTCAGTTGTGTCACTGCTTCTCTGAGATCCGCTATCTGTTGTTCGGCCGTCATCTTGTCTGCCGTTCGTGAGCTCTCGAGTAGGCACCAGCCTTCTCTCCTCTCCGCTAGGCTTTCGATGCCCACAGAAATGTGAGACGGAGCTTACTGTCAGAGCTGCTCCCCGATCCCAGCTCACAGAGGATCACGCTAGCCAGCGTTCGCTTTATAAAAGTCTTTATTGAGTTACAGTTTCCATTTCCAAGCTGCTGCGTGCAACTCTACGTCTTATGGCTAGACCGGCGAAGCTCCGTCTGAATCTCCGCCCCTCGTACACCAACTTAATATCCTCGCCTTACTCCACCTTTTCCGCCTGACCGTCCTTCTCTGGGTCCCTCTGCCCCCCGTGGTCTCCTCCCTCCGGGACTCCTCTGACGCTGACCCCCCGGACCCTCCTGTCTCCTTGCGTCGGGCTTTAGGACCTGGCTCCCTTTCCGGGCTGCTTACTGCGCCGCCTTCCTGTGCATTTGAACTTGGCGCGCGCACCCAGCCTTCCACTTTCCGCTTGACCGTTTCTTCGCTCCCCGATGGGGGCGTGGTCACTCCTGACTCATGCCCTCCTCCCTGCTGCGAGCTGCCAGGGCTCGATCCCTGACGTCCTTCCTCTCCACTGCGCTCTGGTGGGGACGCTGGCCCCGATTTCCAACTGCTGCCCTCTGAACCCCCGCTGGTCCCTTCCTCCTGGGGTGTCCCCCTAGGCCCCCCCTTTGCTCTGGCCACTGGCGCCCCTTTCTGTGAATCTTCCGATTCACTGGAAAGACTCGGAGATCTCGGGTCGTCGTCATCACTCATCCTTTCTTCGGACTCCTCCCCCTCGCTCTCTGTTTCCTCCCTTGCCCTCGCCTCTGCTCCTGAACCCCTGACACATATACTCTGTCCTTTTCTTTCTCTGTCTCCCTTTACCTCTTTGGCCCTTAACTTGGGTTCTCAAGCCAATCTAGGATCAGAATATTATCCTTCACAAAGGCTGGACAAATACATACCCTTATATCCTTCCTTAGAAATCTGCTGCTATTCTGGCTGCTCATTTTTAAAATTGGCACTGGAAAACACAGCTGCTTCTCCCTTTCCTTCAGCTCTGGCCACACATTATCGTAATGCTTGCGTGGTGATGAATTTTTGAAGGTGCCTACTGCAGAGAGAAAGGAGGTATTGGAAATTAGGACCTTGCTCTACTTGTCAGAGACCTCTGTTGGGGTGATTATGAGTTTGAGGGAGATGTGACGGGGTGATTGGTTCTAGCAGGGTTACAGATAGCCCATCTCTGGACTCCCCAGTCCTGGGGTCTTTTGCATATGAAGCTTCTCATCTGCCGGACCTTCTGATTTAATCGTGGATGAGGGAAGTGACCTGGCATGCATCTCCATGAGCTGGGTGAGCTAATTGGGTGGAGTGGATCTGAGGACTGACTTAGAAGGCCTGAGACACTGACAGGTTGGGGATTCTGCTGTTTTTTGCATCGGACTTGGTAATTCTTGCGGCACTCGTAAAAAACAAAGTAGATCTCACAGGCCTGAACTCTACCCACTCCTAATCTAAATTACGTTTCCTTATTAATCTAAATCTTGTAAAAGTCTACCCCCCTGCTCCAAGCAGCAGTAGCAACTTCTGAATATCTGTGGGAGCTGTCATCCATAAAGTTCACCCGTGGAATGTTCTTCTGAATACTAATACATAATAATAATGATAATAATAATAATAATAATAATAATAATAATAATAATAATAATAATAATTTATTATTTATACCCCGCCCATCTGGCTGGGTTTCCCCAGCCACTCTGGGCGGCTTCCAAAAGAATATTAAAATACTGTGATACATCAAACATTAAAAGCTTCCCTAAACAGGGCTGCCTTCAGATGTCTTCTAAAAGTCTGGTAGTTGTTGTTCTCTTTGACATCTGGTGGGAGGGCGTTCCACAGGGAGGGCGCCACTACCGAGAAGGCCCTCTGCCTGGTTCCCTGTAACTTGGCTTCTCGCAGTGAGGGAACCGCCAGAAGGCCCTCGGTGCTGGACCTCAGTGTCCGGGTAGAACGATGGAGGTGGAGACGCTCCTTCAGGTATACTGGACCGAGGCCGTTTAGGGCTTTAAAGGTCAGCACCAACACTTTGAATTGTGCTCGGAAACGTACTGGGAGCCAATGTAGGTCTTTCAAGACCGGTGTTATATGGTCTCGGCTGCCGTTCCCAGTCACCAGTCTGGCTGCTGCATTCTGGATTAGTTGTAGTTTCCGGGTCACCTTCAAAGGTAGCCCCACGTAGAGCGCATTGCAGTAGTCCAAGCGGGAGATAACCAGAGCATGCACCACTCTGGCGAGGCAGTCCGCGGGCAGATAGGGTCTCAGCCTACGTACCAGATGGAGCTGGTACACAGCTGCCCTGGACACGGATTTAACCTGTGCCTCCATGGACAGCTGTGAGTCCAAAATGACTCCCAGGCTGCGCACCTGGTCCTTCAGGGGCACGGTTACCCCATTCAGGACCAGGGAATCCTCCACACCTGCCCGCCTCCTGTCCCCCAGAAACAGTACTTCTGTCTTGTCAGGATTCAATCTCAATCTGTTTGCCGCCATCCATCCTCCAACCGCCTCCAGACACTCACACAGGACCGTCACCGCCTTCACTGGTTCTGATTTGAAAGAAAGGTAGAGCTGGGTATCAGCTGCATACTGATGAACACCCAGCCCAAACCCCCTGATGATCTCTCCCAGCGGCTGCATGTAGATGTTGAAAAGCATAGGGGAGAGGACAGAACCCTGAGGCACCCCACAAGTGAGAGCCCAGGGGTCTGAACACTCATCCCCCACCACCACTTTCTGAACACGGCCCAGGAGGAAGGAGCGGAACCACTGTATGACAGTACCCCCAGCTCCCAGCCCCTCAAGACGGCCCAGAAGGATGTTATGGTCGATGGTATCAAATGCCGCTGAGAGATCCAGCAGAACTAGGAAACAGCTCTCACCTTTGTCCCTAGCCCGCCGGAGATCATCAACCAGTGCAACCAAGGCAGTTTCAGTCCCGTGATGAGGCCTGAATCCCGATTGGAAGGGATCCAAATGGTCCGCTTCTTCCAGGCGTGCCTGGAGTTGTTCAGCAACCACTCGCTCAATCACCTTGCCCAAGAATGGAAGATTTGAGACAGGGCGATAGTTGGCCATCGTGGCCGCATCTAAAGATGGTTTTTTAAGAAGCGGTTTAATAACCGCCTCTTTCAACGGGTCTGGGAAGGCTCCCTCACGGAGGGAAGCATTCACCACCCCACGAAGCCCATCGCCCAGCCCTTCCCGGCTAGCTTTTATAAGCCAGGATGGGCAAGGATCCAGGAGACAGGTGGTTGGTTTCACTCGTCCAAGCAGCCTGTCCACATCCTCGGAGGTAACAGATTGGAATTGATCCCACGCAATTTGACTAGACAGGACTCTAGCACTCTCCCGCCCTGGCCCTGCTCCCACGGTGGCGTCTACCTCTTCCCGAATCTGAGCGACTTTATCTGCAAAAAACTTTGCAAAATCATTGCAGGAGATCATGTGGCCCACAAATATCCCACATTATCTAAACAAAGTGTTCTTCTAGAGAAATGATTTCTAAAATTGAAAGGGCATTCTTCAGTGGCTTTTGGCTTGGGTCACCAGTCTCAAAGTTCTGACTCTGTGTTTTGTTTGTCTTTCAGGCTGCCAGCACACCCCTTAACCCTTTGAGCTTTCAGTGCGGGTTTGTCAAACTCCGGATTGACCTCCTTCAGGCTTTCTCTCAGCTCATCTGCACTTGTAATAGCCTGAAGACTAGTCCTCCACCTGCCATTGCCACAACCATTGTCATGACCTCAGGCAGTGACCTTCAGCGGTGTGGACGCATTTCCAACCAGGCATGTGCTCCAGTTTGTCCCTGTTATGAACGTGCAATTATATTTTTTACTTGGCTTGGTGTGCCGAGATGAAAACAATGAACAGTGAAAACTGACCAAAAAAAGTGACCAGTAGCTGCAATTCAGCCGATCATTAAAGGATGAGGCTCCTTTTGCAATGGGCAGAAGCCACAGTGTTCTCCTATAAACATGTTGAAAAGGTACAGACCTTCTGCAGAACGAATATTGTTTAGCGCCTGTGCCCAGGAGCTATGAACCCCCATCATCCCTGACCACAGGTCACACTGGCAGGGAATTATCAGAGCTGGAATCCAATAACATTTAGAGGCCTACATGTTCCCCATCTCTGATTTAGCATAGTAAGATCTGTTTCATGATGCCCTGCTAAAGGTTCTACCTTATATGGAGGCCAGAAACATAGCTTTTTCAGTGAAAGGTGCTCCCAGTGGAAGTACTTAGTCTCCCCTCCTTGCTTGCCTTCTGGGGCATGTTAGCACTTCAACTTCACAGAATGCATATGGCCGTTGATTTGTTAAGATGTTCCTGCCCTGCTTTAGTCTTGCTTGCACCAGAGTTAATCTCCTACAGTGAATCCTCCAATCTTGTCCCCTTTGCTCCTCCCTCCTAGTGCACGGAGGAAACTAAACAAAACCTCTGGCTTACAAGAATGCCAGAACTGGGGGTGGTGGTTTGTTTCAGTTCAACAAACCATGATAAGTAAGCCAAAAACAATCTTCAGTGTGCATAAGATCAGATATACATTGACCCAGTTCAGTCGTCACATCAAGCCATAGTTAGGGGTATTCACAATGACTCATTATGTGGGCTATTTTGACCCATTCTCCAACATACAAACACACCCCTCATAAGGGAGGGGGAAATATATCAACTGTGGAGTTTATTTCCCCCTCTATCAGCCCCCTTGACCTTCTGCCTGGGCTGGTATGAGACTGGAAAGGTTTTGGATTCTCCCTACCCCACTGAATTGCTTTGTCCCATAAATGAGTACCCTGCATTTTGGCACACAAGGATCCTCCAAAATTGCCACAAAATACACTTTGAAAATTCATAAAGCAAACTAGAGCAAATTAATAATACTAAAAAAAAATCTAGTATCAGAGATTTCAACCTTCAGATTCCACAAGTCTGGCAGAGTGCCGTGGTTTTCATTTGCCTCTTAAAAGCAAGACTTGATTTAGCCAGGCAGGTCTTACAGAAGAGAATATTCCACAATAGAAAAGGCCCTGCTCCTAATAGAGCCTAACCTAATTTAGATGGGCAGGGTGGGGGAAAGGCAGGAATTGGATTGTGAGGCAGGATCAGGGAGAAATCTGAAGAGCAAATTGGCAGGGAGGAGGGACTTGGACGGTGCAAGAAGTGAGGCAAAGGCAACAGGGCAAAGAGAGAACTGATACGTTTGAGGTGCAAGTTGTAATTGGATTCTGAGCAGCTTGCCAAGAGTCACCTGCTGGTTCTATATGTTAGGGGCTGCTAATGGGAGCCAAAGAAAGCAGGGAAGCTCAGTTGGCTTCAGGCGAACCTGCATCCCAAGACAGGATGGAGAGAAGGTACAGTCTTGCCAGCTGAGCCAGTGATATGAGGGCTCAGCGCAGGGGTTCTGTGGTGTATTTGTTTGACCTTTTCAGTTTATGAACCTAATGGAAACAAATGAGAAAACTGAGCAAGGATATACAAAGAAATAAAAATATTAGTTCAGTTCAGTGCAATCAATCATGAGTAGTGCTTTGTTTTTGTCCCCACCCCTTTTGCTGCTGCAGATGAAACTCTCCATGGAAGAATTCAGGAACCTAGCTGCAAGATACGGAGATCTCTATCAATCATCCTTTGATGCAGACTCAGCAACTTTGAGGAATGTGGAGCTGTATCCTACTTTTCAAAGCACAGGACTTGGTTATTTTTCTCTAAGTATATGCCTTGTAAATATGACTCTTAAGAATTTATTACTGGAGCTTAGGACATGGGGCGAACATAACTTTCTTACAAATTCAGCATGCCAGTTTCCTTTTAAAGCCAACACCAAACACCAAAGTTTGTTAGCCAGAATTTAGCACTTGATATCATTGTGTCAGACCATTACCCAGCTATCAAGCATCATACCTAGAAGGGTCTTCTTCAGCGCCTTCTGGAAAACAATTCAATGTAGAGATTTGGCACAGGTTCAGTGGGAGGAAGCTTTGTAGCTATGATGCCACTATGGGCAAGGATCTCTCCCTCATGGTCACCCATCTTGCTGACCTGAGGGTTGGGCACAGAAAGTGAGCTTCCGAAACAGGGTGGTGTTCGCAGATTAGTATGGGTGCAGGCAAACCAATAAATAGCTTGGGTCCAAACGTTTCAAATCTCCCGTTCATGACCAAAATTGGGGGGCGGGGGCGGGGCATGAACCTGACGCCTCCCTAGGCACATTTGCATAGGGCTAAACTGTGGTTCAGCATTGTATCCAAACCAGGTATATGTGTGAAGTGGTCTGTAGAATCAAGTTGCTTAAATTAATGCTGTATTATGATCTCCCCAGAAATGAAGCCCATGCTGATTCTAGTAACTTACAGCCATTATTTTACTGAATCATGCAATATTAATTTGATTTTGCCAATTTCATTTGTTCATCTTTAACATCACATCAGACAGCAGCAAGGTTGCTTATTGATATCGCATGCAATCGAAGCCCTGATTTTAGATCCTGAATCTGCAAGGTAAATATGATGCAGACTTAACTTTCTTCAGCCTCTTGTCACCCAGTCTTGCCATTATTTTCTAATTTAAGTAGCCATTAATCAAGGCGAAAATGTCTAGCAGTAGTTTAGCCAGGGATCCTGTGAAATAAAGTTGCACAAAGTTAAACATTTTTAGTATATGGAAGAGTCCGTTCAAATTACCTTTACAGTGGTGCCTCGCAAGACGAAATTAATTCGTTCCGCAAGTTTTGTCGTCTTTTTTGTCTTGCGAAGCACGGTTTCCCATAGGAATGCATTGAAAATCAATCAATGCGTTCCTATGGAAACCGACTTCAGACCAGGTCCGGGGACAGTCTGTCCCCCGACCTCTTCTGAAGGCTGGGGGGGGGGGACAAGGGCTTTTCTTCCCACCCCCAGCATTTAAAAAAACCTGGGACAGCGGAGACTTCTCCGCTGTCCCGGGGCGATCTTAAAATGCTGGCGGTCGGGAGCGAAGCCTCCACTGCCGCCCGCCAGCATTTTAAAAAACCCCCGGACAGCGGAGGACTTCTCCGCTGTCCGGGGCAATCTTAAAAGGCTGGCGGGCGGGAGCGAAGCCTCCGCTGCCGCCCGCCAGCATTTTAAAAAACCCCGGGACAGCGGAGGACTTCTCCACTGTCCCGTGGCGATTTAAAAGCCCCCGGGAAGGCAGGCAGGGGGGAGCAAAGACTTTTGCCCCCCGCCGGCCTTCAGAAGAGGTCCTGGACCTCTTCTGAAGGCCGGCGGGGGGCGAAAGTCTTTGCTCCCCTCGCCTGCCTTCAAAAGCCGTCCGGGACAGCGGAGAAATGTGCTGCGTTTCTCCGCTCTCCCGGGAAGGCAGGCAGGGGGGAGCAAAGACTTTTGCCCCCCGCCGGCCTTCAGAAGAGGTCCAGGACCTCTTCTGAAGGCCGGCGGGGGGCAAAAGTCTTTGCTCCCCCCCGCCTGCCTTCAAAAGCCGTCCGGGATAGCGGAGAAACGAAGGCTGGCGGCGGGAGGAGGTCTCTCCGCCCCGCTGCCAGCCTTCGGAGGAGGTCCGAGGACAGTGGGGAAGACGCGCTGCGCTTCCCCGCTGTCCCGGAGATTTCCCTATGGGCTCTCGTCTTGCGAAGGAAGCCCATAGGGAAATTCGTTTTGCGAAGCGCCTCCAAAACGGAAAACCCTTTCGTCTAGCGGGTTTTCCGTCTTGCGAGGCGTTCGTCTTGCGGGGCACCACTGTAGTTTATTTGCTCATCTGAAAGAAACTTCAGCTACATTTCACTGAAATGCACTGTTTCATGGGAAGCAATTCATTAACTAAATGTAGTGCATGCTTATTGTCATTCAGAAAGTATTTTTTTAAAAACCATATTAGTTCTTTAGCAACTTTATCTTTTTCCTTGGCTCCGAAATTAAAGCTAAACATATGCTTTTTAAAATTTTCTGTATACTTTTAAAAATTTGACAGTGACTTCATACTTCAGTAGTTTTATTTTAACAAAATTTTAATAGAAGTATTAAAATAAAATAAACTGTCGGCACTGTACCGTGCTGATAACGAGGTGCATGAACTAGCGCATAAACTTGTCATGTGGAAGAGTAGTAATGTAAAATTCAGCATATTATTGTTTATATTGATAGGCATCAGGACAGCAAAAATTAGAAATCTTTTGAAGGGAGTCCTGATTTCCTTAAAGTGGGTTGATGATTGGGCTAAATCAGGAATGAGGGAACCTGTAGCTGTTGTTGGACTTCAGTTCCTATCAACACCAACCATTCGCCATTCCGCCTGCGGCTGATAGGAGTTCGAACTTAACAGCTAACTGATGCTGGCTGGGAGTGGCAGAAAATATTTAGAAAAAATACAGATTCAAGTAATTTGGTTATAATATTTTAGCTAGGCAATCCCTACTTTAAAAATTCTCAGGGCTGTATCCAACTAACATGTCCCATCAGTGTAAAGATTTCAGCTTGCACAACAGGACTTCCTCTTCTCCCTCCACCCTCTCCCAGTCTCCTCTGGGTGGATGGAGAAACCCACAGAACATATTTAGGGGGTGTGCAGGGGAAGGAGGCAGGAAGTCCTGTTGCACAAGTGGAAATTATTGCGTTGTTTGGAGACGTATTACTGCCACTTTGGATACAACCCTTAGTGATTTTTTTTCTCTAGGGATGAAAGCATTGCGGACATTGCACCTTGGTGAAACTGAGATTCTGTAGTTTAGTGCTTTTCAGTCTTCCTTCTAGGAAGGATTTTCACATTGACATCTGTGGAAACCTTGCATGTCTGCCATGGAACCCCTAATGTTACAGAGGATGTTTTACAGTATTATAACAATAGTAATAATATTTATTTATTTGCCACCTTTTCCCCAAGGCAGCTTACAGGTAAAACAGCGAAAGCAAAAAAGCATAGAAAAGAGAGTCATTAAATTACACATTCAGTTCCCTGGCTTGGGCCTCCTCATTGACCCATGTGAACTTAAAGCACAGACAAGAGTGCATCAGTGCATTGCAGTGAAAGATCACTATTGTTGCACAAGCCATCTTTTAGGAGAGCTTGTCTGTCATTTCTGTTCTCACTGAGAAGCATCCGTTAAGCTTTAAGAGAACCCTGGCATTCTTAGAAATAGTTCAAGATGAGATGCCACAAGCTCTTGTTGAAGGTAAAAATAAAATAAATGACAAATACTTCTTCCTTGTATTGCTTGTATACCTGGCCCTAAATAAACTTTATTTTATGTAAGCACTAATGATTTCAATGGAACTAAATTCCAAATAAGTTTGCTTAAAAAGCCAGGGCTCCCCCCCCCCCATACCATTGGGCTCTCTTGAATAGTCCCTGTTTTCCTCCTTAGCTTTTGAAATCCCCTAAATTAACCAGATAATTAATCTCTGGTGTAATGCCATTGACTTTGATGAAGTTTCTCGAGGGACAAAGATAGCCATGTAAGCCTTCTTGGTGCTAGTAAAAGGTCTCCCTTTGGGCTGACTCTGATTTCTGTTGATAGAACGTAAGTTGATCAGATCCCGTGAGACTGGAAATCGGAAAGAATTGCTCAGAAGTAGTAATGGCTCATTTAAACATGGGAATTACAGGACTGAACTGATGCCTAGTAGATCTTAATCCACATAGACAGTACACACTTTTTAAAACAATGGCCCAATTCAGATGTTGTGCACAGCTTTTGGCTCCTGCAATTTTCACTTTCCTCTTCACTGCTGCTGAACAGAAATGATTGGAAGCTGTCACTTCTGTTTTCTATTAGCTGCAGTTTATCATTACATCCAAACCTGAAACGTTACCCAAGCAAAACGGTTTTCAAGCCCTGCACTGCACTTTGACGTCCTGATGATCGGGGCTTCTGAGCGCAACATCACCTGGCAATAGTGATGCCAGGCGATTGGCAGGCAGCATCTTCACCCACATGTCAGATTTGGTCCAGAGGAGAAGGAAAAGAAGGACCCAGCCCACTGACCAGAAAAGGTTCCCTGCCCCTGATGCAGAAGGTTATAAGTTGATTGGCAGAACATCTAAACCATGCTTGCCAGACACAACAACCACAACATCGTTTTGGTGAACCAGTGCAGAGAATGCATTGCGTGGAGGTGGCTTCCATGTGTGAGTGCAGACTGCTTCAGCAAAATCGAGCCGTCTGCCTTTTCAGTTCAGGGGACACTTCCTGTGTATTCAATTCGGCGCTGAATGCACAAGCAACTGTTTTGCAGGAGTGTCACAAATTTATTCCAAGATTTTATTTTATTTTTAATTGAGTAAGGAAGAAATGTTTAAGTGAATTGGAGATGTTCAGATTAAGTGTGAAATGCCTATAAAGATGGGGAGGGTATCCATGGAGTACAGCATTTACAAGGACAAAGGAACCTGTCAGAGAGGCTGTGCTATTTCCAGGAAATTACTTGTTTCCCCATGAATGGTTAAGTATATATAGACAAGATGATGATTTTATAGAATCTTTATCTCACCTTCTTATCCAGCCTAGAGTGCCAAAAGCACTGTGTAAAAATACTCAAGACACTTTGGAAAGGTTAGGGAAAGGCACACATTGGGCATCACCGGAATGAATTTCTTTTCTAGTTTACAGGAATATGGCTCTGCTGGAGTGGCACATGCCACAAGTGAATATGAAAGGAGAATGATGTCTGTGTTCAGTCATGTGCTGGAAGAAGTAGAATCACTGAACAGAAAATATGCACCTGTGTCTTACATGGCAAGTAATAGCCACTTTGTCATAGAGACTTTTAAAATAGTAGTTCTTTACATTCCTTTGAAACAAGAAGTCAAAAGATAGATGACCCCAGGTTTTGTATTGGTCACAAATAGCATATAACCAGAGTGATGGAATAAAATCGGTTTCTACCATAGAGCAACATTGGAGATTCATTTTATGCTTTAGAGGGTATAATTTTTGATGACTCACAGTGCCAGATTTGTATTTCTGAGGAGACATGTATAGGATTGTACTGTTCAGTGGTCAAGGTGGAAGTGACAAGTCAAGACTTGGCTTCTATCTGTAATTTATTAACTAAAGCTATAGGAATGGTGGAAGCAGCATTGATATTTAGGTATAATGAATTAACCAGTACAAACATAGGTATAATCCAGAGATTATCATGCATATTAAAAAGCTTAATGAACATGCAGAAGAGTAAAAAAATATTTTTTGTTTGTAATAAGTCTTGACTCATTCTCAAAATTTTTGACCAGCTATAGCAAAATTTGCCATGCTTTTTAATGAGTAGTATGTTTCTTTATCCACGGCTGTTTAGATTTTGGCCCTTTCCCCTCTCCTAAACTTGAGAATGGAAAGCTTCAACTTGAAAAGCATTATATACATCTTCGGTATACATCAGTAGAAACAGACAGAAATATTTGTAATTTGAAATAAAGGGATGAAGTTTGTAGTGACATGCGGAGCTATATCATTGTTCTTTGGACTGCTTATAATTTTACTCAGTTTTCTAGGAGCTGTGTTATTTAATACCTTTCTGATTCTGACGCTGTGATGGCTATCATGCAGAAAGTTCATGTGTGGAACATCCTAGAGGCCACCTGCCATTGCTCCACCTTGGCTTCATTCATTGAAGCTGATTGTGTTTCAGTACAACTTTTCACTGGTGTAGAGTTTCTCTTATCGGGTCAGGTCATCTGAGAACACAAGCACTAGGTGATGTAACTCCAAACACAAGGCGGAGAAGAGTTCTAAATGAGCTTAATCTATCGACTAGAACCAGGGTTTCAGATACTGACTTTAGGATATCTCTGATCTCTTTGAGAGCAAGCAATCTGCTGTCCTTCCATGCGTGTTGAGCATTATATTATATATGGACATGCATTTTTATATGAATAAAAATGTACGCAGAGTCCTGTACGAAAACAAAAGCAATTATTCAAATAGCAGCAGCAGGTGGTTGCTATTGCCCTAATTTCTTGCTTGTGGGTTTCCCAGAATCATCTCACTGGCCACTGTGAGAAGTGAGATATTGAACTAGAGAGAGCTTTGGCCTGATCCAGCAGGACTCTTCATATGTTAATTTCTCGCTAGCCATATTTTTGCTCTCGTTTTATTGCAGAAAGCACTGTGGGACCAGACTAGAGAACAAGCCGTTTTTCGTAAGACTTCAGAATTTCCCCATATTTAATCTTCAGATCCATTCATGGCTTTCCTTTCTTGTTATAGGGACTCCCCACTGCTACTTAGTTTCTCTCAAGCCAGTACTGCCTTGCCCCGTTTGGCTATATTCTTCCTCCTGGTGGCCTCTGGTCTCCAGGAAGCCCCTGCCTTAAGATCTAATGTGCTAGGCTGCATTGGCCGCCATTTTTTCTTTCCATATATCCTTGATCAAATGATGCACTTAGGAATAGGGGATGTTGGGGAAAACAACAACTTTCTCCCAAATTCCTTTAGAGCTGCTACAGAGCTATTTTCGGAGCTATTCAATGCCTCTCTTGTCCTGATACAGAAAGGAAACTGGATTTGTTTCCACCATCTCTGTAGGCTATTCCAGCCTGGTGCCCATCAGACGTTTTGGACCACAACTCTCATCAGGTCATAGAAGCTGTAGTCTAAAACACCTGGAGCCCCCCAGGCTGGTGAGCGCTGCGCTCGTCCATATTCTTGATGATGCATTGTCTTGGCTTCCTAATAAGTGCTAGTGACTGCAACGCTAATGCACAAAGTACATTCTGTTTCCGATCCCTGCTGTAAAAAGGATTAGTTCTGATCTGGCTTGGCATTGTTTTGTTCCAGCACACGGCTTGTCTATGCAATGCAGTCATTGCCTTGCTGAAAGTTCCCTTGTCATTCCAGAGGTATTTTTTCCAGAAGCTGCAGTCGACTAGCATTAAGGTAAGCTGGCGGTGTCGCCGAATTTTAACTGCAGTTAATGCAGAGAAATGTCTACAGTCCCTTTGCTGTCAGGAAGAGGAAGGGGAAGGAGGATTGCTGCTGATCCAGCTCTCAAATTTCTCACTGTTTGTAGGTTAAAATGTAATTGGATTTGGAGATGCAGATCCCTACGTCTGCTTTGATTCTTTAATTATTGCTATTTTTCAGTGGGAGATTCCGTTCAGATCGCTCACTGCATTCTGTTTGGCCCTGGCTCTTCTATAAACAGGAGAGGGAATGGGAGCCCTTAGTGATTGTATGGCACCCAATGCATCAGTTATTTTTTCCAGAGCTTTTATTATGTGTTTGTTTATTTAAACAATGCCTACAAACAACTCCCCATTTACACACAATCTGTTTGCATGAGTGTCCTTCTGGCTCACAAGAAGACCCTCCCCAGAGCCTGAAGAGGACAGAGGCACAGCGGGGCATTGTTGAGGCTTCCCGCCTAACAGCTTCCCCATGCATCAGCTGAGCAGCCTCAGCAAAGCCCCTCTGCCCGTCTGGCTCACGAAGGTCCATAACATAACCCTGTGTAAATGGAGAGTCGCAGAGGGCCTTCTTGGTAGTGGCACCTGCCCTGTGGAACACCCTCCCATCAGATGTCAAGGAGATAAATAACTATCTGACTTTTAGAAGACATCTGAAGGCAGCCTTGTTTAGGGAAGTTTTTAATGTTTGATCTTTTATTGTGTTTTTAATATTCTGTTGGGAGCTGCCCAGAGTGGCTGGGAAAACCCAACCAGGTGGGCGGGGTATAAATAAATTGTTGTTGTTGTTATATCACTTAACCTTGTCTAAGCAGTGTACAAGAAATTGGTAAAGGTAAATAAAAAATGGAAATAGAAAAGGTAAAAATTGATTAAAACTGTACAGTCAGACTTAAATGCTTGCTGGGATTAAAAAAAAAAGCCTTCAGTAGGCACCAGAAGTTCATCAGGAAGGGGCCCTGCGTCACCTCAACTGGAAGGCAGTTCCACAAAATTGTGTCCATCATCCCACACACATGGTTTCTGGTGGATTCGAGCCATACATCAGAACCATGGAGAGCCACTAACAGTGACTGGGCTAGGGATATGAGGGATTAGGCAGCCCTTGAGCTGTCCTGGACCTATGTTGTTAAGGGCCATGTCAATTAAGACAATACTCTAGAACCTGGCCCTTTAGTATATGGGCAGCCAGTGCAAGCTTTTGAGCACCAGGGTTACAGGCTAGTGATTGTCCCCATCGACAATCTAGCTGCAGCATTTTGCACCAGCCGGAGTCTCCAGACAAGGGCCAAATATGGTCCGGCATGGAACGTGTTGCAGTCATCAGACCTTGAGGTCACCATGGTCAGACTATCCTTGTTCAATAATGTTATAGTTGATGTATCCGCTGCATCTGGTAAAAGGTAAAAGACAAAGATGGCTTCAGCAGCGCCCTCATTCTCTGAACCTGTTCTTTCAGAGGGAGTGCAGCCCCATACATGTAACATCCGCATTTATCTTCCCCTTTTTATTTTACATCCCCACTGTCTCATTTATCTGAAGGAAATAGAATGGTCTCTGTCATATCTTTCAAAGTCTTGTGGCTTGTTATTTCCCTGCTTCGTTTTAATGGTTCATTTTATTGATCATTCATTTGGTGTAATATGGCTTCTGATGCTGTTACGCAATTAAGCTCACATCCTGTTTATAAAATGATCAAGCTCCTGAAGGAATATACAAATATTCAGTATGGCTGAAGCATATGTTTAATCAGTATTGACCACCCAGACACAGTGCTGTTCAAATTTAGCCTCTTGATTATCCAAAGCGCTGTACATGTCTTAAAAGAGGTCAACACACACATGCTCCCCACAACAATCAAATTTGCCACAAAGTTTAATATATACATACACACACACACACACACACACAGAGAGAGAGAGAGAGAGAGAGATATCCAGGATTGCTCCCCAAAGAGCACATACTTTGCCAAAAAGGAAGGTCTTTGCTAGCTTTCTGAAACTCACCAAGAAGCCTGCCAGAAGTACCTCTCTAGAAGGGATCTCTGCAGCACAGGTACCTCTGCTAAGGTTTCTCTTTACAGCAGACCCATGGAACTTCCTTCAGGACTCCTTCAGCTAATCAGTTGCCTGAGTCAATAGCAGTCGACTTAATGTCTATTTGGAGTCCTTTAGAGTATGTGTACTTAAGATTGTCAGAGTCAAAAGCTAAGGGCTCTTAACAAGCAAAAAAGCTTACTTGAAAGATTATCAAATGTTGCAGAATCCATGCCCCAGAGCATAAGTCGTCTCTCTGGTTGGGGTAACAGGGCTGTTTAGAATATAAAAACACAAAAATACATACCATAGCAACAAACAAAAACAATACCCTTCTCACAGTTCAAAAGACCATAGTTTGTTTAATTAGCCAAAGGCTGATTTCCTGCTTGGTTTCAGACACAGTTTTTAGGCTGTCATCCAGCCTTCCAGCTGCTGCCCAAAGTGCAGAGAAAGCTTTACTGCTTGAGTGTACTGAAATATTAAAGCTGCCCTAATATGGAGGTATTAAGGACAGCATCTTCATTGTGTAAAATAACGTTCTAACAGAAAAGCTGCAATTCAGTTTAGAGAAAATGCATTTCAAGTTTGGAGTGCTTGAAGACGTGTATTTTTTTTCTGACAGTGCACTACTCATGCAATGAATGCACTGATCATAAATTGTGTTGATTATATCTTGAGCATTGTAATATCCCTCGCCATCTTCCATGTGCTTCTTGCTTCAGTTGCTTTTTTTATTTTATCTGTACTTCAGCTTGCCCTGTCACCATCCCCACGCAACCCCGCGGAGCCCATTGTCGTTCAGAATAACCAGCAAATGGCATTGAAGGTAGAAGGAGTGGTTCAGCACGGCTCCAAACCAGGCCTTTTCCGCAAGATTCAGTCGATCTGTCTAAATGTATCTTCAACACTGCAGACCAAATCTGGGCAAGAGTACAAGGTATGGAGTTGTATACTGTCAACATTTTACAGTGTCTGAAACCTATGAAGAATTTAAATGGAAATACCATTTTCTGCTGTTGGGTGGCGAGGATTTTAATCTCAGCGGGGGAGGGGTGTGTGGGTGTGTAGGCATTTTGGGCAGGTTCTTTGAAGATAAAACCTGTAAGTAAGATCTTGTGGTGGTGTTGTGTTCATATCCCCATGGGAAAAAGTCTGCGCCTTGTGTATATGCGTCTCGGTGGAAAGGGGAAGGTGGAACAGATAATCCTTTTCCACACTTGCTGTCTTGGCAGTAGCACTGAAAAGTCCTAACATTACAATCGACTAAGAACACACAGCTGTCTGGCAGCAGGAAGCAAATCTGCTCAAGTAAGAGAATGCTGATCACTTGGGATGGCTAATCACTTAGAGGTTCCCAAGCCCTGCTATGAACAGCTGAGCGGTTTGCAATAGCTTTAGCAGAGAGCGCTAAATGGCTTCTTACGTTTTGCTTAGACATGCTAAACAAAAGCAAAGGACAACAGTTCTGATATTGTCCTCCGTGAGCCAAACCTTTGCTTATATGGCAGAATTGAAACATTGAACACCCCTTAGAGAAGCTGTGGAAAATGCCATTCCTACTCCTGTTTTCTTTCCCAGATGCCCATTGACAGCCTGACAAATGAGATGGAGCAGATGGTTGAGCCTCACAACGATTACTTCAGCACACAGTTCCTCTTGAACTTTATTATTGTTGGCACCCACAGCATCACAGTGGAGTCTTCTGTTAGAGATCTCAATGGTATCATATGGAAGACGGGGCCCAAAACCACTCTGTTGATTAAGTCTCTTGAAGATCCTTACTCCCAGCAAATTCGACTTCAGCAGCAGCAAGGACAGCAGCCACCACAACAGCCGCAGCCACAGCAACGAACTGCCTATTCCCGTTTTTAGCACTGTTCTTATCATTCATCAGCCCAAGTGAAAGGCATTCCATTTTATGTGGATGTTGTCATTTCCCCCATCTGTTTCCCATGATGCCGTCCTTCCTTCCTTCCTTCCTTCCTTCCTTCCTTCCTTCCTTCCTTCCTTCCTTCCTTCCTTGGCAACTGCAATGATCACACCTATAAAAAGCAGCTCAGTCACTGAAACCCAATCCTCTTGAGGCACTCCATATAACAAGCTGGTTGAATGAAGTGGCTCTGCTCTTGGTTCCAGCTGTTTCCACCATGCCACTGAAATTGCTCTAGCAGTGGAGTGCAGAAATTTGCTAAAGCAGAACAAAGCCTTGGTTATGTGCTTTAAAGCCTTTTTTCAGGTTCTTATGGCCCTGTTCATGTGATGTGGGTCACTAAGGGCCTGAGGGGGCTAAATCCATGTTTTTATGGCTTCATCACATACCCAGCTCTTCTCGCCATCATTCAGCACAGATTTTAGGATGGTGTGATGAACTGAAATCTGGCCCATTACATGATCCATCCATTCACTGTTTTATTGTGCTTTCCGTGTGCCTTGTAACCTGCATTCCACCACACACAATAGAAAAGCCACTTTAAAGCCTCAGATAAGAATGGGCCAAGTTGGTTTCCCTTTGCATCGTTGTTGATGGCTTCCAATTGGAAGATAGTGAGCAGTGAAAGGTCTGCAAGAATTTCCTGGGTTGCATCCCAACATATTGGCTGTTTGAGTAATCCAGTTGCCACTTCCTGAGGAGCATGACTTTCGATTCTACATTTAATCTTTCAAATTGCATTGGGTTTTTATGTATGCAAAACTGTGTTCCTCTGTGTTATTCAGTACATCTACAAATGCAAAAAGTTTCAACAAACGTCCAGACATTCTGGGTGGTTAAATGTAAATAATCATTTTGAATGCTGCTAAGTTAGAACGAGGTTTGGATATCATTCCAAATATCGGGGTGGTGTTCTTTAATGCCTCTGAATCTTGCAGGCTGCTCATATTTGTTGCTTCTCTATATAATAATGCTTGAGCTATGCCATTGTGGGGAAAGGGAGATTGTCTTGCTTTATAGGAAAAGGCATTTCAGATTGGTTGGGATCCTTGCCCCGCCCCCCAACACAAAGTCCCCCAGAAAGAAATATATTCATCTTTGAAAGGTTAGAAAGTTGAAAGATCAGAAAGGGTTGTGTTATAACTGTTCTTCTTTTAACAACAATATGAAGGAAATGCGCATTGAAGCTACGTGAGTACTTTTTAATAGGGTTTTGGTTTTGGTTTTTTGGAAGAGGCAACTCATTCTAAAGCAAAATGCTGCTTGAAGTGCAACAGATGACCAGGCCCTGTACCCTATAACCTAAAGAGGGTATATTTTGTATGGTATTATGAGTTACTTCAAGAGAGCAAGGAGACAAGTAATGATCTTGGAGCTTGCTCCACATGGACTCTTGCCCCTACCACCTCCAGGCCAGCTATCCAGTGAGAAGAATCCTGTTATTTTTTTAAAAGCAAACATACGTTATAAAGTACTTTAATTTTACCAGTAAGGCTTGGAAGCATTTGGTATCCTGAAAGGCAGGATGAAAATAATTCTAATACTAATAATTCCCTGCTTTATTCTGTACCAGAGTTGCGAATGGAGAGCCTTCTTCCATTAAATGCTCTTGTGGTTGGTGGAGTGCATGCCATAGCTGTGCAGGAAGAAATTGACTTTGCATTCTCTTACTGAACTTGCAAGGTGTCTATTCCTCTTGCTTTCAGATGTGAGAAGTTCACTCAGCTCTTGATGATACAGGTATGCAGGTTGAGGGTTTCTTTCATTGTAAATACTGGGGGATGGGTTTGGAGGTTACTTGCAACATGCTCCTTTTTTAGAAACTACTCAGATGTAGTTTCTTACTTCATCTTACATCAAGAAAATGCCTCCTTGTTATGTATAGAATATCCTAATAAACCATTTGTTTCCCATTTGAATCTGATCAGCAAAACCAGAACTTCTTGTGGGGGAAAAAAGACATTGGCATTCTTTAAACTCCAATACTTGATTCACTGGCTGCCTTGGGTTTCAAAGTGTCTCTCCAATTTAACAAAGAAACATTTCACCTCTTCTGTCCCCAGCATGTTGATTTTGCAAATTATGAATAATGTCCAGTGTTAGAAACTCTGATATATAAACTAGGTGCCAAATGGCTCCTTAAACCAGGGTTACAGTTGCTGAAACAGAATGCCTAGTTTTCCATTTTGGGGCCAGACGACTTGAAAGTCATATTTTTCAATATGACTTTTTTGGGTCCTGAAATTCATTCTGAATGTGCAGATAAAAGATAATGGATAGAATTCTACAGAATGGGGTATTAGCGTGTGAAAAGAGTGCAGATCCAATGATCCCCAGGCATGCACCTCCAGATGGTGGACATGTCAGCCGCCAATCCTGGCACCCGGGCATCTTCACTTGATCGCAAGTGGCCGATAGCCAGCCAAATGTGCCTGGCAAATTTCTAACGCTGCCTCTGACAGCAAGCAGTGGGAAATGTGCTGCTTGACATATGTAGGTAGATGGAGCTTCGTGTTGATCAGCTGGTTAGCTTCACAGTTTGTTCCCCATTTTTATCTTTTAGCCACCTTTGTCTAGCACTGACTTAGATGAAGTCAAACCTATGTAAACCCAATCCAAAGGCTTTTCACCCAAGTTACACAGAGGTCACTGGAGCTAGGTGTGCATACCATCAGCTGACCATGGGGAATCCCTGAATATTTCCACCTTGTGCTGAAAAATCCAATTTCTGATTGAATAAGTTATTTCCCTTCAGGACTCCTCTTTCCCTAAATTTGTTGTTGTTTAGTCGTTTAGTCGTGTCCGACTCTTCGTGACCCCATGGACCAGAGCACGCCAGGCACCTCTGTCCTCCACTACCTCCCGCAGTTTGGTCAAACTCATGCTGGTAACCTCGAAAACACTATCCAACCATCTCGTCCTCTGTCGCCCCCTTCTCCTTGTGCCCTCCATCTTTCCCAGCATCAGTGTCTTCTCCAGGGAGTCTTCTCTTCTCATGAGGTGGCCAAAGTACTGGAGCCTCAGCTTCACGATCTGACCTTCCAGTGAGCACTCAGGGCTGATTTCCTTAAGAATGGATGCGTTTGATCTTCTTGCAGTCCATGGGACTCTCAAGAGTCTCCTCCAGCACCATAATTCAAAAGCATCAATTCTTCGGCGATCAGCCTTCTTTATGGTCCAGCTCTCATTTCCATACATCACTACTGGGAAAACCATGGCTTTAACTATACGGACCTTTGTTGGCAAGGTGACGTCTCTACTTCTCAAGATGCTGTCTAGGCCTGTCATTGCCCTTCTCCCAAGAAGCAGGCGTCTTTTAATTTCGTGGCTGCTGTCACCATCTGCAGTGATCATGGAGCCCAAGAAAGTAAAATCTCTCACTGCCTCCATTTCTTCCCCTTCTATTTGCCAGGAGGTGATGGGACCAGTGGCCATGATCTTCGTTTTTTTGATGTTGAGCTTCAGACCATATTTTGCGCTCTCCTCTTTCACCCTCAATGACAGGCCTAGACAGCATCTTGAGAAGTAGAGATGTCACCTTGCCAACAAAGGTCCGTATAGTTAAAGCCATGGTCTTCCCAGTAGTGATGTATGGAAGTGAGAGCTGGACCATAAAGAAGGCTGATCGCCAAAGAATTGATGCTTTTGAATTATGGTGCTGGAGAAGACTCTTGAGAGTCCCATGGACGGCAAGAAGATCAAATGCATCCATTCTTAAGGAAATCAGACCTGAGTGCTCACTGGAAGGACAGATCGTGAAGCTGAGGCTCCAGTACTTTGGCCACCTCATGAGAAGAGAAGACTCCCTGGAGAAGACACTGATGCTGGGAAAGATGGAGGGCACAAGGAGCAGGGGGCGACAGAGGACGAGATGGTTGGATAGCGTTTTTGAGGTTACCAGCATGAGTTTGACCAAACTGCGGGAGGTAGTGGAGGACAGAGGTGCCTGGCGTGCTCTGGTCCATGGGGTCACGAAGAGTCGGACACGACTAAACGACTAAACAACAACAACAACAACTTTCACCCTCATTAAAAGGTTCTTTAATTCCTCCTCACTTTCTGCCATCAATGTTGTGTCATCTGCATATCTGAGGTTGCTGATATTTCTTCCGGCAATCTTAATTCCAGCTTGGGATTCATCCAGCCCAGCCTTTCGCATGATGTATTCTGCATATAAATTAAATAAGCAGGGAGACAAAATTTACTTAATTGAAAAAGGAGTTCTGTGCCTATAGATACTGGACTTGTTTAGAAGCCACTTACCCCACTGCTGGAATACTGAGCATCCCTTTGTTTCTACATGAGACTGCTAGGGGTGATTTGTAGTTGGATATCTTCAACATGCTGATGACACTTAGCTGTCTCTCCTTTCCACCGACTCTAGGAGGTCTTGGAAGTCTTTAATTGGTCTGAAATCAGTAACGGAATCAATGTGGGCTAGCAAATTTTTGGTTTAATCCTGACAACTCTGGGAATTGTAGCTCTGTGAGGGGTACAGGGATTGCCTAACAACTCTTAGCACCCATAACAAATTACAGTCCGCAGGAATCTTTGGGGAAACCTATGACTGTTTAAATTGGCATAATTCTGCTTTATGGTGTAGTATATGGTGCCCAGTTGAAATGATAGGTGAATGGTTTTGCATAATGTCTAACTTTGCTCAAGAAGAAAACTTGTCCGTTGTGTTAATAGCCATATATGACAATCCAATTCATGCTCATTTATGACCATGGAAAGCAGAAAAGGAAAGTGTGATACCAGGAGCAAGAAGAAGGAGCTGAAACATGATTAGAAAATACTCTGATGTTGGTTGGCCTTTAGGGACATTGGTGAAATAAACCTGGGAAGTAGGGGGAGCAGAGATGAAGCTAGAATTTCTGCATACCAGCACGGAGGTAAATTCTACAAGTTGGAACCATTGGAGGAAGAAAGATATGGAGTGGTAAGCTTTTTTTAAAAAAATGTGTAATCCATTATGATGATTAGGCAGTTCCCACATACAGAATAATACAGATTTTCATGTTGGTTCCTTCCTCCGGTGCATCAGAAATAGCCGTAGCTGATGGGATTTCAAACAGGATGGACTAACTGAAAGGCAATAGAATTCAAAGCAGGGAAGAAATTCAATATTTTTTCCTCATTTTTGTGTAGCTGCACTTTTAAGAAAGATACTTAATTCAGGGTTTTATGGGCCTTATGTCTGAAGTTCTGATGCTGATGAAAACGGAGCCATGACCAACATCAGCATCTGGAGTCCTTGGAGTCATGGCCCCAGCCTCAAGCTTGAGCCAGATATCCTGGTCAGAGGCAGCAATACTTCTGCATACAGCTGCCTCCACTGAAAAGCATAGTGATCTGGGTCATAGGAAATTTCTTGCCTGAATGTTTTATCTGCAGTTATGACCCACACATTATGATCAGGGATGGGGAATCTCTTTCTTTCCACAATCTGTGTTCCTTTGTGGGTAACCTTCTAGGGACGAGACTTTAGGTAAGCACATACGTGATCATGAATTCAAGCATTGTATGCAAGTTAGGACTTCTTTTCCTTGACCAAATTCTGTTGTATTTATTTCATTTGTTCTCTCAGGAATGGTCAAGTCTGGGGGAAGCTATTGCACATCAGCTGTGCTGGATTTTAAGGACCTACTGGAAATGTTTCTTTGCTTCATATTTCAAGCACCTTGAAGAACTGTTTGTCTTGCATAAAATCAGAATTTTACAGAATCTTAGAATTGTGATTTTATTATATAATGCATTTTGAAGGTTATCTTCACAACATGGAAACGAGGTTGCATATTAAAAGAGGCTTGCAAAAATATTTCCCAGTAAGCAGCCATTCAGAATGCAAATGCTGATTGTCCAAAAGACGAACACATAAAAGGGAACATTCGGCATGGAGCAGCTTTCCATTTGCATAGAGAAAAAGGCAAATTATATATAGCCTACTCTGAATCTCTTATATCAGTGCTAGAGATTCTCTTCTTCGAGATTACTAATGCCACCACTTCTGTAGAACATCTCATGAGAATATATATCATTTCAGTAATTTTCACAATAGCTCTATAATGTTGGTGAATGTTACCTCCATCTTCCCAGTGGGGTAGGGGCAAGACTGAGAATTTATTGCCTGTAATTGTCTAGCAAGTTTGTGGTAAAGGAGAGACTCTGAAAAATTTCCTGTTCATACCAATAGCCACCATATGCTATAACAGCTTTACAATAGATCATGGATGGAAGTGGACCAAGGGTGGGAAATAAGTGTCCCTCCAGTATCGTGATGCTATAAGTATTGTGATGCGATCTGTCCAGCGGGAAGTTAGGAGAAGGCATGTCCATCAGTCCTACGTCTCTCAGCTACTCCTAGGTGATCCAGCAGCAATGGAGAATGAAAATACTAACAAGGTGGCAGTTGCCACAACAGAGAGGTCCCAACCTTGGCTTTTGGATCTCCCCTACCCGAGCTGTGTGCAAGCGAGAGAAGACTCTGCCTGCATGTCACCTCCTGCTTCTCCCACTTCAGTCCTCTCCTGGTCCTGGGAGACAGAGGATCAGGAGGAGGTGTGGAAGCCCTTGACTCTCCACCAAAAAATATATTCTTGCTCAGAAATATATTATTATACACTGTAATGGGAACCAATAAAAGTACAGGGGAACCTTGGTAGTCAAATGCCTTAGTTGTCGAACAAATCTGCTCCTGAACGTCGCAAACCCAGAAGTGAGTGTTCCAATTTGTGGACGTTTTTCGGAAGCCGAACATCGAACGCGGCTTCCGCTTGAGTGCAAGAAGCTCCTGCAGCCAATCGGAAGCCACGCCTTGGTTTTCAAACCGTTTCAGGAGTCGAACGGACTCCCAGAACGGATTCAATTTGAGAACCAAGGTACAACTGTAACTGCTAAAAGGAACTGAAGTTTACCCTGTAT